ACCAAATAATGACATGATATCTGTTGTTGACCATCATCTTTATTCCATGGGACTGAGTAAAACAGGACCACATCAATCTGATATCACCTTCATTAAATTATATCACCCTGATCGTCTTCTAGGATTCATCAGTTTAGAGAAGGAACGTCTCCCAGAGCTATTTTGTTTGGGATTGATTTTGACAACATGTTTTGTAAAAGCTTATTTGACCATTCATCCAATAGAAGCAAATCACAGAAAAATAATATGGCTTGGATTTTTTGTGTATTCATGTCTATTTGTGCTTGCTGTAGGTAGACAGAATTTCACAGCTCTCAGGAGGATATCAAAATACTTATACCAAGTCACTCCAGCACCATTTTGCTGTACCCCTGCCATTGTTTACACAAAAGCAGGCTTTCATGCCGTTTCATCATATCTGAAGTCTGTGAGATGTAAGAGTGGGTTTGGAAAAGATACAGCAATTGATAAATTAAGAAAACTCAATCCAAAGTTAAGAGCTTTGCTGATCCAACCCAATCTTTTTAAACATATAGGGATGTATTCCTCTCTGAGAGACCAAGTTCTGGATCCATTTTAGTTTGATGTTTATGAACTTTGACTGAAATACAAAATATAAATTTTGATAGATTGTAGAAGAACATAAATTTATCAGCATACACATGTATTTGTAATTGCAAGGAAACCTTATGTTAATTTTTAAAGTACTACATGTAAACAAAATTTCTTGGTGTTATGTAAAATACTTGAACTTTCCATACCAATAAGCATCCATGGAAACTTTTTTGATGTAATTTTCTTATGCTGACTTGTACTTTTCATCAGTTTTGGGGTGCTATTTTCTTTTTTTCAAATTATAACATTTGAAAAAAGATATGTCTCAATGCAACATTGTATACATATGAAATTGTTCCTCTTTTATTTTAATAAAGCATGAATTTTTTTTACAAAGTACCTCATTTTAGTTAATATTGAATATTAATACCTCTATATAAACAACAATCTGCACTTCACCACTGTTAAAAATGTAAAATAACATTAAGAAGAAATTATACCCATTATTAGATATAAAAAAAATTGATATAGGGGCTCCTATATTTATAAAGTTTAAATATGTTTAATGCAATATAATTATACACGTATAACAAAAATGAGCATGTATTTGTTAATTGGTGCTCTTATAATCTGTGTTATATTGTAATGTTACTAGTAAATTGTTGATTAAAACATAATTGTGAAATTGTATTCCATGTAATCATTGTCATCATTATCATAATCCATGTGTAAGGCTGCAGGGTGACTATTTAGTTTTTGCATGGAGGAGGGTTGCATGATATGGATATGAAAACAGTAAGGGAAAGGGGGGGGGGGTGGCTGAAATAAAAAATGTTGAGGGTTTATCTATCAAAAAACAAGCGGCTCCTAGGCCACAGTGCTCATGAACAGAAATTACACCACCTATTGTGTATTATTAAGAAAGTCTTGTAATGTACATGTATATAATCTCTATGTATATGAGTTTAGTCCCCAGTAAGGGGTCTCTTTCATATTTATATAGTATCTTAGAGAGGGAGAAAAAGAGGGAGAGAAAGAGAAATGAGATAAAATAAAGATTCAATATTTTCAATGACAGAAAGTATTAATAACTAATGCATACATATATGTCACCCTGAACTACCTCCAACAGTGCAATATTGGTGTTGAAAGCAAAGTTAGAACAATTATTATTATTTGAAATTTTGCAAAATTTTTGTTTCCATTCCAAAGGCAGCTGTTTTGGAAATTTTTAAATCCAAGAATTTAGTAGAGACATTGCATATCATAATACAGTTTAAATAGTTTGGGGAAAAAAATGAAATTTACTTTTTTTGATTTCCATGGCACATTGGGTATTACCGGTGTATACTCTATTGTGAACCTAGTGTATCATCTCGAAGCGATGCTAAGGAAGGTGGTCGATGTACGTTTTTGTCCAATTTCTCAATGTTTGGATAATTTTGCTCAGGAAGCATAGGCTTACGGAAGAAATCATTATTGAGTAATATATAGGAATATATAGAAACATATGAATCCATGCACTGTACATTTTCTATTTTTATCAAACACCTCAACACAAATTCCAACGATACGGTTTTGGTAAAAGTGAAAAAAAAATCAATTTGTCCAATCAATTCCATTTTTTTGAAGAAATCATAGTTTATGCAAGGGATGCTCACTCCTCCATGGCACCTGATCCCACCTCTAAATTTTGAGGTCCGTGTTTACTCTGCTCCAAATTTGTATCGTTTCATTGGACTTTCGATATTGAATACTGTATAATACTACAATATTTCAAAAGAATAGACTAGAAGGTTACTGGAAAAACTGATTTGAGTTTTTCATATTTCCTCTGTTCCATGACAACATTGGCCCTTTAATTTTAAATGTTGAATATATAACAAGACTTAATGATTATATTAATATTGCGAAGTTCATTAAGGTTGTCTAAGCCATTGGCGAGAACACACACGGACAAAATTATATGTGGAACAATAACAATTTTTCCTCCCTAATTCGTTGGTATTGAAATGATTATTATGCATACTAGTAATCATTTATTTTCAAGGATCTTAACACATACATTTTCAGACTTCAATTACTTGTTGCAGATTAATATTCAGCTTTGATTTAATTATAACAAATGTTTGGGTTTCTACAACTGATAAGATGCGACGTGTCCAGGTTTGTGTATATACATTTTGTAATGGCTAAACATATTTTTGAGAAAAGTTTTGAAATTTAAATTCTTCACTAAAATGTCATCACGTTTATTTTAATGGATAGGGCGCATTTAATGTAAATTGGATGTTATCTTTTTTCAAAACCTTCTCAAGAACAAATTACAAGAATGAAAAAAAAAAATGAAAAGAAAACCCTTTTAAAAAGTCAGTTAAAATCATGACTTCAACAGACTAGGTCCTTAACTGAAAAAAGAATAATACTAAAAAATCTTTTAACATCATCTTCTCAAGAACAAAATTCAGTACGTAAATAAAATATGCCAACATCCTCACATAGATTCAAGTTCTACATTTTTTTCATTGTTGTACCTCTTTTTTTCCACCGAATGAATGCTTCATCAAAAATTTATTCTCTGCTTATGGATGCCTTTGTATATATTTGATCACATATTGTGACCCCTCCCTACCCCTGGGGTCATGATTTGAAGAAACTAGAATCTATACTACCTCGGGATGTTTCCATATACGAGTTAAATATGACCTGTCATGGCTTTGCTGATCTCGAGGAGAAACTTTTAAAAGATATTTTTGTATATTCTTTTGTAAAATTTTGATTGTCCGTTGTACGTGTTAACATCCTATCCCCTGGGGTCACGATTTGAACAAATTTGAATATACTCCTATATAAAAATTGATCTACTTGAGGATGTTTCAATATAAATATGACTAATCAAGGCATTGCTGCGCTGTTCTTAAGAAAAAGATTTTAAGATTTTCCCTTTGTATTCCTATGTAAAAATTTGATAGCCCATTGTGGCCCCACCCTACCCCCTGGGGGTCATGATATGTACACCGAGGATGTTTCTACACCGATGTAAATATGACTAACCATGGCTCAGCTATTCTTGAGAGGAAGATTTTTTAAAGATTTTCATTTAAATTCACATGTAAAAATTTGATCTTCCATTGTGGCTCCACCCTACTCCCGGGGACCAAGATTTAAACAATCTTTAATGTACACTATGTAATGAAGCTTTCGCTTAAGTTTCATCTTTCCTGCCCGGTGGTTCTTGAAAAGATTTTTGAAAGATGCCATTAAATTTTCACAAATTATTTATTATATCCCCTTGAAAGAGGACGTGATCCCTCATTTGAACAAACTTGAAATCCCTTTATCCAAGGATGTTTTATGGCAAGTTTGGATGAAATTGGCCCGGTGGTCCTAAAGAAGAAGATGAAAATGTGAAAAGTTTACGACGACGACAGACAACGGACAAATTCCATCAGAAAATATCATTTGAGCCATCGACTCAAAGTCAAATAATTAAACAATCAGATGGTTTTTTTTTTTTTTTTTTTTTTTTTTTTTTTTTTTTTTTTTTTTTCTAAACTGCAACTTAACAATATAAGTTAAAGTAGTACAAGTTTTTTTTTAATCTTTCATAAATTATCTTTTTTAAAAATATGTACAGTAGCAATTTTCCACATATTAAATTTCATTCATTATATATATGTATATTACACAAACTGCAATCAGTCAATCATGGTAAATTTTTAATTTATTTATATACATATGCATGTAAGAAAAAAGTAATTACTGATTAAAAATGATAAATTCTTCTGATATATATCATTATTTATTTGGACATTGAAAATAACAAAAAGGTACTTAATTTCCGACAATACTATTAAAATTAATGTTCAGGAACATAATTTTTTTTTCATGAAAAAGTCTTCATCCTCTTTCAAGAAGTGATTATATATGTACGGTTCATTTAATTAATAAAGAACAGAAGAGCTGTACTCTCATTAAAGTTTTGGTATACATGAATGCACAGTATTTTGTAAAAAAAAAAAAATACAATGAAATTAAAAAAAATGTAAATATAAATAGCTAAGCTGATTTTTCATATTTTAAATCCTGTGCTAAACTGATTGGGTATGATAAAATCAATTTACCCCAATATTTAGGTCATAAATCCTGAAGATGAGAATAGGATTCTTTTTTTACTTTGGAGGAGGGTTCATTGATCGTTATAATATACCCAAAGTAAAGATGAAAATATTGATGTAAGGGTTAAATCTTAAATCTACCAGGAAATTAATTTCATAATATTTAAAATGTGGCTCATTGTTAATATCAACATGCATACTGTTTGTCCTTTTAGATGTCCTGGAGTAAAGTGAACGTTACATTTAATGTTTTTTTTTTTTTTTTTTTTTTTTTTTGTTTTGTTTTTTTTTTGCAAATGGATCTTATCCTGGACCTGTTCATAAAGTTCACCGGCTATTAGCATGACTGGGTAGACATACTCTATTATGATCACAAATTAGGTTTGTCTTCTGGATATCCACATGCAAGTTTGTTTTTTTTTTAAAAAATAACTGATCGATATAATGAATTTTCACTACATGGTACAGCTTTGTTCCACCCTGAGCCAAAGAGAAATGAATTTCTTAATTTGGGTAGAAGAATCAGTTTTATCTTGTAAAAAGTTTGCCAAAAGACGCATAGAGATATGTAATTAGAGTTTCAGAAAAGCTGAGCGATCTTTAAAACCTTTACAGATGATGCCCAACTGCAAGAAACAAAAGGCTATGGATAGCAATAGGTTATCTGCATGTTTCAGGTGATCCTAAAAGTTCGCAGCTTTACATAAAATTGTTTGTATTTTACTTACAAAATACTATTCTTTTGGGAAATCAAGTAAGCAACATTTGACATGAGTGAACAGAGGGATTATGTGTGTATGTGGACTTCAAATTTATTGACATGTCGACATATGACAGTCTTAATTATGGGATAAAAGCCTTGCGTGATTTTTGGATTGGTTGTCGACATATTGGACATTGCTGTAGAAGGCCAACACAGCTTGCACAGCAGCAGATGTGTCCACAGGGCTCAAATAGCACCCCAATTTCCTCTTCAAGACAAATTTTGCACAGCTTCTGTTCCTTCAGGTTCCGATTCTCCATCAAAATTTCTATCAATTCTAAGGTAAAAAGATATCAATATAGAGTAAATTTATTTACCTTATAATGTATTATTTTACAAACATAAATATGATTTGGAATTGATATTGCTCACTCTTCTCTTTATCCGAGTAGTTTTCTTCAGGTGTTTTACTGGTTCCTGTTGCCACTGATTCAACTTCAGGTAATTTACTTGTTCCTTGTGCCACTGATTCAGCTTCAGGTATTTTACTGGTTCCTTGTACCAATGATTCACCTTCAGGTATTTTACTGGTTCCCTGTGCCACTGATTCAATTTCAGGTAATTTAATGACTCCTGCTGCCACTGATTCAACTTTAGGTAATATACTGATTCCTGTTGCCACTGATTCAGATTCAGTTATTTTACTGGTTCCTGTGGCCCCCGATTCAGCTTCAGTTATTTCACAGCTGGCCGCTGCAGAGGAGAGGAACCAGAAGTATAATCTAATACCAAATTGAAAAACGATTTCACACGGGGTTTTTGAGTTATTTTAATATACTCAGTAAAGGAAATAGATTTAAAATTATGATAAATAGAGAATTTAACAAATAATTTGAAGCAAATACTTTCCATTGTATCAGATATACTTCATGAAAAAAAATTATTTCTTCAAGCATGCTATGGATGATGCTTAGTTTTTTTAAAAAAAAATTTTGGAGAGGGGGATGTCAAAATTTGAACATTATAAACATAATCTAGACTCAGAAGGTTGACTAGAAGGTTGAAGTATAAATAAATGTACGTGAAATGTAAAACTTATGTAAATTAGTATTATTTACAAACCTATGAGACCTTTGCTAACTTCATCACCAATCTGAAAAAGTGTGTACATTATTTTAAAAGTTTTTTTTTAACATATACATTTAATTTGGGTCCGTGTTTTTGTCCTGTTCACATTTCATATGCTTGACTACATTTATGAGATTGATCACTTTTCGTTATCTTAATCATATTTTTCACTACAAATAATAAAATAAAGAAATAAAGATTGCTGGAATTTTATATAACATCAAAAAGACTGTAAAAGTTTGTAATTTTTATTTTATTATTATTATTATTTTTTTTTTGGGGGGGGGGTTGTTTTCAATGAGTTAAAATCCTTAATATCTTGTAAAAATGTGCTTCATGCATTAGATTTCTTCTGTTCGGTTTGTTGATAAGAAGGACAAGCAAAATGGGCTATCCTTTAAGCCACCCTATCTTAACCTGGAATGCCATTCAAAGAGAGTATAATAGGCACGACTCTACTAATTTTATTGATGTTCATGAGAAAAATCTTTCTCACCAAAGGTTTTTTTGTAACTTCGACTCGCTATAGCAAAGAGCGAGTCTGCCAGAAAACCATGCAATATTGTCCAAATCGAAGATTATCATATGGAATTAGATTGGTAGTAAAAGACTACCTAACATGTACATGCAATTGAAAAAAACAAAACAAAACAAGCAAACCATAATGACATATTATCTTTAGAGAGCCTTAAATGTATTCTATATTAAAAACAACAACAACAACAACCTTACAACTGATTTGGGTGAATTAAAAAAAAATGACCACCAAACTGAATTTTTTTGGCAAAATTCAACTACTTATAACATATTTTTCACTTATATCATCATATCGCAAATGCATTCTAGTTTAAAATCCTGAAGTGGCAATAGAATAGACAATTGGATTAAAAAGTTTCAGAATTTTTATTAGTAAAATTTCTTTTGAAAAAAGAAAATATCATTACACCTTAAAAGACTTTCTAAAATACATAATCACAAGAAATTATAGTTTTTTATGCTTCAAAATGGTAAAAGGGGTATAAATGATTAAATCTAGACCTTGAATGAGTATCTTCTCTTGTACATGTGACAAAAAAAATGGCTTTTTGGTTGTTATTTTACATTATTTTTTTCAATTCTGGTTTGAAAAGTTTTAATATGAAAAAAAAATATGAAGCAATGAAATTCCCCAAAATTCACTTTTTTGTCCGTTCAAGTCAATTCTTTAAATCTAAGCCAAAAAAGAATTGTTATATACGAGTTCTCTTACAAAAAATACTAGATTTTGAAGTCACCCTATGTTACATTATTGTGTTGCACTCCTGACATCTGATATGTATTTTATTGAACATTGTTTTAAAAATTATAACACACAATAACCCATTCTTACTTTGTAAATCAATTTGTCGTGTTGATATTTTTCATCGTTTACAGCAGGTTTTTCATATTTTGAAGACCTTAAAACATGATTATTTGCAAAGTGTAATATATATAAATTGTATTTAAAATATATGTGATATAATGAAAACTATTCCCTGAATCGACTGTAGAATTTCTGTAATTTGTTGATAGACATAGTGTTTTGAACATCAAATAGTATCAAGCATTTTTTTCAACTTATTTTTTAGAAAAGATAGTTAAAAAGCATCGGTAATTATGAAGCAGTTTTGTTGCACTCCTGACTGCAGTGAAGTTTAAAATTAAAACCATAGAACACAAAAATTCATCAGGTGTTGGCAACATCAAGTGGTAATGAAATTGTGCAATACTTATAGTCCAATACTTCATAATTAAAACAGATGAAAGTATTTAAAATTCGCATTTTATCTGGAATTATACCCTATTTTATGCCAAAAAACTAGCTTAAATGTATATTTAGAAGATAAAATATATTTTAAAGCATATTTTCTTTTAGAAGACAAACACAGTAACCCACCAGAAAAATTCTACTCATCATTTTTTCTTTATTTTTTTATTCTTATTGGATGATTTATAATTCTAACATATTTGTTGCACTCCTGACCAAAAGCATTGGGGCCTTTAAAGTAGAATTGTGAAGTGAAAATTACATAAGAACTTGTTCTGTTGTTTCAGTGAAGTTGAGGAGGAATTACTTGAATTTTATGACAATGTTTTAGTGTGTTTATTTTTAACGTTCATTAAAAAAAAATCACAAAAAAGATAAAAACACATCTGAATTAATAAAATTGAAAAAGGAAGGATTTTGATAATAAAACTGTCAATGATATAGCATTAAATTATACAAAAAGATCATTATTAATTAATGAATACGATGTACTTCTAAGCATGAATAGAAGTCTTTTCGTCACAGAACTTGAATCTTTAAAAAAAATGTGTTGCACTCCAGACCATAGAAATATGGATCTGAAGCACAGACAGATCCTGTAATTGATAAATCTATTTGGTAAAAATGTTCTTTGTGTCTTTATTTTCCAAAATAAAAATCAGAAAATCATATAATGATAATAGTTTTTTCATGCTTGGAAGCAAAACATCAAATGTTGCACTCCTGACATTTTTGGGTATGCACATATACTTGACTCTCATTAATGCTGCTTGTGATTTATATAACATTTTTAAGTTTTAAAATGTATATCAGTTATTATTTTACACTTCCAAAATTCTTTTTTGTCTTAATTTTCTATCAGAATTTTACAATCGATGTTTTTTTGGCAACACTACATTTTTTCTGTTGCACTCCTGACATGGTATAACATTTTTTTTAAACATCAGCCATGACCACAACTTGATTAAACAAAAGTTTCAACAGTCCACATTTAAAGCTCAATACTTTAAATATTATCAGGAAAGTCTTTATTTTCAACATGAAGCATTATTTTTTATTTCACAGATCTCCAAAAAATATTGAAATTTCAAAATGTCACAAAAAGGTGTTGCACTCCTGACAATTTTAGCATCATCTTTGGGCATAACTTTTTTGTTAATTGAGATATCAACGAGATATTTGGCAGATATTTAGACACTATCTAAAGACATATGCTGAGAGATAGAAATCTATTTTCATTGCCTGTATTTTTAGTGTGGGTTGATAAATATGCGTTTGGTCATATTTTTTTTTTAATTCACCCATTTCTGGGTCGATTTTTGCATATGCCTTGTTTCAATCTCAAACTTGTTCGGAGTAGATAAAACTACAAAGATTGGTTATATTATTCTTGCCGAACATTAAAAGGTTTAGAAAATTCCGTATTGGATAATACATTTCTATTTCAGATGAAGAATTACTAAATAAGTAATTTTCCATATTTCAAAAAAAGCTATTCAGAATATCAATTAATATGACATTAAATGTTTAGAACATGAACGACAGAGATGGATGTAAAACTGAAGAAACCTCTTATAGACTATCATATATCCCTTTCTTTCTTTCTTCTGCTCTCTCTCTCTCTCTCTCTCTCTCTCTCTCTCTCTGTGTGTGTGTGTGTTATTTTTGTCGATAGCACTTCTAAATAAATAGCAAATACAGAAGTAAAATAAATAAAATTAGCACACACTTTCCCTTTCTCCCAAAATACATTTGTTTCCTGTTCTATTTGAAAGAAATACTTTCAAGTTATTCTTGGTGTTATTCTTACGACTCCTCCCGAAGAGGATTTTTTTTGGCTGATTTTACTCCATTTGAATTGATTTATATGACACTTGACTCTTTCCGCCCAAACAGGGTAGTTTTTTTTCCCAAAACTTTACTCCATTTAAGAGGATTAAGGATATAATATAGGACTACAAAAAATATTGTTATTTATATTTGGTTTATCAGAATTAACATTACCACCTTATAGGTCTCTAAATTAAACAATCCTATGCGACGACATGCAAGGAAATAGAACAACTGCATGCACTGTCAAACTCTTATCTTACAGTGGAGAGCTGATTAAATATCCTGTGTATGCACATCTTTAATTTTTTATTATTTTAATTTCCTGTTTTGTATTTGATTTTCTATTATAACCACAAAAATGTTTGTCATGTACTTCACATGAAATTTAGGACAAAACACCTCATACTTGTATGTAGATTAACAATAAACATATAGGTATGTCTTAGATATAGGGTCAAGATTACAGAATTATCAATTTTGCTGTTCATTGAAAAAATCTTCTTTTTTTTCGTTTAGAAATAGCCTTGCTAAAATAAGCTCTTGAAATTTTATAATGGTTCCACTTTGCTTGTTGAAATTGAAGAGTGGAATAATTGGAACAAAAATGTATTTTTATTTAAAATATATTTCCGGCTGATTCATATGACAGATGTTTTTTGGAATTATTGTGGATAATATTGAATCTGTGCATTTAGAAAAAAAACATATCATGGGTTTTAAGACATAAAGATGTCTGAACGTTATATTCTCTAATCAGTATAAAAAAAACCCTATCAACGTAACAGGAAGGAAATTTTAAAATGGTGGCATGTGACAGGTGGTTACTTATTGGATAGCATCTTCTAAGACTTTTCCGAGCTACAAATCAAAATACTATAGCGAGACAATTGATTATTTTTGCCAGCATTAGAAAAAGAAATGTATATATAATAAGAAGTCATATAATTGTCATGTCATACAGATTGACCTTTATAATCCAGGAAAATAAATATGGAATCTTTTCAAATCGATTTTGTAATGAGAGGAAGCCACTTAATTAATTTTATGGGTTGAAAGTGCACACTTGTTTGTACTTGCTTTTTAATTATAAAACATCTATTCGTTTTCCTTGAAAATAGTATATTTTAATTGTAAAAAAAAATTATCTTTTTAATTACCTCCTGTGCTTGTTTAATAAAATTATATCCTTTGACAAACTTGATCCAGGGACAGTCCTTGAACGCCTTTGCGTGCTCCATCCACGGATCATCATCAGACTCCCAGTCCCACAACATAACCCCACAGTAAAAACATTTACATTTGTCCCCCTCACCTGTTTAAAGGGAAAGATAAGTTTTTAAAAAATCAGTAAAAAAAGTTAGTCATCTTTACTTTTTGATGAAAAATACATGTATCTGTCATTCTTCATGCCAGAGTTTAACAATTCACAGCTTGATTCATTTTCCTTTTTTACATATGTTATGCACTTGTTAGCTAAATAGTAAATACATATTTTTTGTGGATAACTCATAGAACTCGCAATAAAAATTTGGAACAAATTACCCAAATAAAAGAATCCAGCTTTAGAGAGAACTTCAGGTCTTTGTTTTATCTGTGTTGGCCATCCTGTAAATGAGGCTTTTCTCGCAGATTCCATGGCAAAATTCTGAAATTTAGGACGAGTAACACCAGGGGCATCGTTAGGTCCAAGTGACGGCCCGTATCGAAAGCTCAGATTTTCACCTGTAGGCACTTTGTGAATGATACTAAAACATGATAAATTTGCCATATTAGAAGGCGAAGAATTTGGAGTGTATTCATCTTCGCAGCTATGTTAAGGCTTCCCGAAGCTTTAAAATGCACTCAAAACATAATATGTCATTGCGAGGTCTATTTTGGTTTTAATTTATAAGTATTGAACTTTAGTACTTCCAATTTATATAAAGGATTTCCTCGGCTATATATTAACATATTTGTTATAATATCAAATAATTTTGTTGATCACGTGACGGTCATTTATAATTTTTTAAGTGTTTCATATAAATCGCTTCGGCGCAGCTGATTTACACAATAATTATAAACGTTTTTTTATATAAACAAACTCATCGTATCTTTGTGTATCCGAAATGTGCTTGGGAAAAGTCATAGTATTACTTTGGTACAAAATATTTCCTGAGAAATTCAACTTACCTACAAATTTGAGGGGATTTTCCACACAATATCGTAATCTGTATTAAAACAAAGCCAACACACATTTTTCCCAAGCAAGGTTCAGTTAGAGAACAACCTCTTCTTACAGATTTCCACAAAAATTCTCAGATTAATCCTCATTAATCACCTGCGCCAGACTCTTTTATACACGCAAAATAAATTTTACCTCCAACCACGGGTATAAAACAGAGTACATTTCAAAAGTATATTTTTCATAAGCATTTTGAACATGCTTAATTTCAATCAAGGGTAGGTAAGCGGTTAATTTTTAAGATATTCGGACATATAAGACTTAAAAAACCTTTAACGACCCGTGAATTTTGCAATAGCTATCTAGCATTTTACATGCAGTTTGAAATGAAGTGTAAAGTTCATGACACTCTCCCCGTCATAACACCTCAAGTTTGCAGTGACTTGACGTCATTTTCCATTATGACGTCATATTTTGGTAGTTCAGAGATGTGAAGGCACAGAGTGCACTGTGATATTCTACGGGAAGCCTTAACCTACCTGCGTAATTGCATCCCACGTTGCCGCACCCAGGGACATTCAGGCACGTGCTGTCTATGTTCCACGGCCACAATATCCCCCGCACACCAGCCACTGAGAATTCCCCCACAGTGAGTACATTGTACCTTGTCATCAAGTCCTGTGTAATAAAATCCATCTTGTGCCAGAGCTTGTGGAGTCACTGGTACACCAGCAGGCCAGCGGTGGTCAAATGTTTGTAATCGTTTGTTGTAATCGTTTCTCAATGGTGCAAGTCGTTCATACGGTGATTGTGGAATAATATCCATATTGCAATATACATGTACACATAGATTTGTATTCCCTAGATTGTACGCTGTTTATGGTTTCACTGTATTTTTGTCAGTTTAGAATCTGCCCTTTGTAAAATATCACTATCTAATCTAAAAATAAAAGAATGGTGCATACTATATACATGTATTTATATTTAAAAATTCCAACAGGACCTAAGGAACTTCCTCTTTCCTTGGATAAAAAAAAAAACAAGCGATTTCAAAAGTATTTAGCTTTTACCTGTATTTTCCTGATATCTTGTCAAATATACAGGGTTAAGGAAACATTCAATACAGATATAAAATTGTGGCTTTTGAGGTTTTTTTAAGGGTAAAGAGGGGAATCTTAAATATTCTCTTAGTACAGGAACTGAAGTGCCATGGGCCACAATACTCACCAAAGTAACGTTCAGGTAAACAACAAGTAAACAAGTTATAATGTTGTCACATTCTGGCCTTAAGATACCATTTGAGTACAGTTCCTAGGATTACTGTAAATCACTTTTTATGCGCGAAAATTTTATTATTGCATATATAATTAAAATTTCATTTTCGCGTATATTTTTATAAGTATAGATTACATTCAATAGCTAGAACTTGTAAAAAAAAATTGTCTCGTTTATAAATACACATGTACCAAATACATGTACTTACCTTCCAAAAATAAGGTGATCTACAGTATATGCGTTCAATGATATTAATGAAAAAATCCATTGCATTGATGATATCCAGAATACCATGGCATTCTTCATTTGTAATTAATCAAAATCTGAAAAGCAGACCTATTTTTGTATTCATATGAAGCAGAATGTAGGGACTTCTTTTAGAAGTCTTTTGCCTTGACCTTCAATTTAACATTTAGATGTTTTATCAATGAACAATATTCATTTCCATCCCTACTTTGATTCCATATATCCCTTTGAAATAAAATACACCAAAAAGTTTGGCACATCTGTTTCATATCTGGATATTTTACTGAAAACAGACGTTAATGGTAACCTAACAACAAAACTTTTTGATAAACGAGATGCCTTCAGCTTTTCTGTCACCAACTTCCCTTATTTATGTAGCAATATACCATTATCACCAGCATATGGTGTTTATGTCTCCTATTTGACTGATACCCAAGAGCATGCTTTATGTGCGAACAATTTGAAAACGAGGCAAGCTATTGACAAATAAGCTGATGATACAAGAATACCAACAGTTTCGTTTAAAGTCAACATTTTGCAAATTCTATGAATAACCTTGCTAGTAAGTCAATCTATCGTTAAGTCGAATGTTGACCGATATTTTTCATATAAATTCTTAGGCACACAAGGCGGATGTGACCGGCCGAGGGGATGCTTACTCCACCATGTTACCTGATCCCACCTCTGATGTTTTAGAGGTCCATGTTTGTCTTCTCCTAATTTGTATTGTTCCAATTTTGAGCTTGATTACTGTTCTTTGCCTTCATAATACACACACAATAAGTACCTCAGAGTACTAGTATTTCTACATACAGACAATGTCGAAAACGAGGCAAGCCATTGTTACGGAATTTCCGATTGCCCGATCATGACAAGGAGCACGCCACGGCTAGGACGACAGGATGCTTACTCCTCCATGGCTCCTGATCCCACCTCTGGTTTTAAATTTTCATGTTTGCTCTGCTCCCAATTTAACTACTGTTCTTTTTTTTGTCATTTTCAAGTTTAACAAATTCTTTGTGAAATTTAATTGGCTTAGATTAACTTGATTGGCCAAAATATATCCTAAATGCACCACATTGCACTGTAGTAAGGTGTAATGCCACAGTTATCCCGCAAAGAAGTACTAGTATCTTTTTTACCATTTTTCTTTTTAATGGTTGTAATCTTTTGAAATTTAAATAAAACGTTACTATCCGTTACTAAACATAATTATTCACCTACATGTTTTCAGATTTGAACATATTTTATTATGTACTGAAACATAAATGGATTGGGCATCAGGCATAGCCTATATATAAGCCCTCTCCACCTACATACATATGAATCCAAATCGCACAGCATCAAAAATGTAATTTTGGTTCATAAAATTTCAATCACCCTGAATTATTAAACTCATTCAAAATGTAACTAGCTAGCGTTTTAACTTTAAATAACATTTACTTACGGAAATGTCACTTGTTATAGAAAAATTCTCTTATGACTGAAATACACACTAACAAATCTTCAATCACACCATCCAAAATCACCCTGTGGCTGTGTTTTTTAAGAAAATGTTCATATTTGATACGACTCAATTAATTGTTAAAATATATCCTGGTGGTTGCTGCATATACTTTCCATAAATGTACATTCATTGATGCTGGTAACCTTTTTAAGGCTAAGCCACCTCATAGATTTTTTAGCATTTCGTGTTGCCCTACAAAATATGAAAGCCAATCAGAAACTTATCAAAAGTGTTGCACAATGTAGTAATTTCTTTACGTAAAATAATAATCTTTTATTATTAGGGTTGTCATAATTATAACCTTAAAAAAATTACAATTAAATCATACGTATATGATATACATACTAGGTTGTCCATCAAGTTCGTATACAAATCTTATAATTTTCTTAATTTAAATTTAATGACCACACTGCCGAACGTGTACGATAATATTTTAATAGACACCAAAGTTTAGTAAATTTATAAAAATTATAACAAAACACTATTTTACGAACGTTATAGAAGTAAGTACTTAGAGTTTGTATATGCAAGCCTCTCGGCCCAGTTTGACGTAAAGCTAGTTCCATGATAACGTTAAAAATATAGATTTTGATTTTTTATCAGATCGTGAACACACGCTATTTTTTCTTTATTATGCCACACTGCCAATTATTTGCGATAAAATTTATATAAGGATCATAACTGGGTAAAATTTTAAGATTCAAAACAAAACACGATAAATTACGATCTTCATTAGTATAAACACTTCGCATACACAGTTTGCACAGCCCAGTCCAACGTTGCGCTAGATTTTTAACAATATCATGAATAAGGATATCCTATTTTCATCAAATAACAGTGGTTTCCACTTCTTGTAGTGTCCCCCAAATTGTACAACTTTGAAAATTCGTATATAACCAATCTCAAATCAATGAACAAAATGTTCCAATAATTTCGAGTTGTTTGAATAATTATTTTGTCTTTGACATAGTTTCTGTTTCAACCTAATTAAAAATTAATTTTATAACTTCCAGACCCTGTCACTTTTTCTGTCAATTTTTGAAGCACATTTCTTGCAGATTTTCTACATATTTTCACAATCTGTCAAATAAGCGACACTACAGATATCAGAAAATGACGAAAGCCACTTTATATGTGACACTTTAAATTTTTATTAAGCTTTGATTTGTTTAATGAAGAAAATAACCATTTTAATTCGTAAACTTTATTTCAAAATTTATGGCATTTTAACCTTGGCCCATGCTAACTATATGCGACCTTTAAAGACCGCAATTTTTTTTTACATAAATATTACGTTCAAACAATCAAAACCACACTATTCGGACTTGGTTTTCCTAACAAATATTTTGTTAAACAATAAATATATCTAGGAACATTCAGTTTGACAAAAACGTAATTGTCAACGAACTTTATGGACTACCCTCGTGTGTGTGTGTTTGTATCAATGAGCCAGGGTTTACTAGCTACAAAGCACAACATGCATTAACTCTCCAAGTGTTAGCGAAATATTACATGTAATGAGCTTCACTGTCCCATAAAAAGGAAAAAAAAAACGTTTTAAAGATATGAAGACATTTACCATATGTATGCTTTTTTTATTTACCAGTTACATATGTATTGATTTAAATAAACAAACATAATAAAAACCTGTGAAATCAAAATAACACATCAATGCAAGATAAAAAAAAACAATATCAGAAAAAATTTCCAATTTTACAACACATTGCAATATGATTGAATGGGATAATAGAAGGAGTGCCACTCTGCTGAAAGAGACGCAGATAACTGATATATTGTAAGTTTTCTTCTTAAAAAGTCATTCGATCAGTTTTCCCCATGTGGTGTGCTGTAAATCAGATTTAATTTGTGTGAGAGAAACCCTACGTAGGGACACCAAACCAAAATTTTTAGTCCCTACGAATCTCGCTGAGATTATGAGAGAAATACCTGCGAATTTCAAAAAAAAAATTATTCTCGAATAATTATTGCCACAAATACAAGTATCTTTTTAATTACGTATTTATGTACAATGTTTCCTCAAACAAGAAAAATTTATTGTCTTGGAAGAATTTCAAACTGAAAAATTACGAATAAAAGGTGTCTCAAGTAATAATTGGTTTACAGTACCGGTACATACATTTTGCTTCCTTGAATTTCATTTCAATCTCCTTTCTTTGTTAGACAGTTCTCCTAATTACAGAAAAAAGCATCATTTAAGCAGAAAAAGATCATTTTAAGCAGAAAAAAACCATTTAAGCAACCAGGGGTTCACTTTCCAATAAGCAAAGGAAAATATAGTTTTTTTTTCATTCATTAACAAGTGTGCAAGCTGTTGAATGGACAATACCATAACATGATACATGTATTTCAAAGGATGTGCATTTAAAACAATGCCTCTCCCCACTAAGCAGGGATGATGTGCATATTGATACAAATTCTTCATCAGGTTCCTTTTTCTTAACGAATATAATAAGATTTCAGGTTTTACTGAAATCTGCTTCCAAAAATATAGTTTTAAACATTCTTGTCTTAGATAAATTTACATTCTCATAAATATTTACAGTAGCAATGTTTTCACAAATTACTTATGTAATGTTCATTCACCAATTACTTTACACTGTAATATACAGAAAACAGCGACATTATATACAGTGTACTACACTAACCAAACTAATTGTTAAGTCAAAATAATTGAATATGCATGTACATTGTATGTGTAGCAAAAACTGTAATTCTAGGATAAAAATTTTAAAAATTCTTGACACAAAGAAAGAATGAATAATAAATATAACAATAAAAAATTCTTAATTTCAAACAATTCTATTGACATTGACATACAAGTACAAAGTAAAAAAAAATATTAAGAAGAAGGTAGACATGTATTTGCACATGTAATTGATAAACAACGAGAGAGTTCAACAAAGCTTCAATACTTGAACAATGTAACAAAGCTGTAATACTTGAACAACATACAGATTATTTTAGAAGTAAAATTATAATAAATTCATTAAAAAGAAAAGGAATGTAAAAAGATGATTTTCCTTTTAGTAGCAATACATAAAATGACTGTGTACTTATTTGTACATCTATCAAAGTAATTAGTTACAAGTGGAAGTAACCAGTTACAAGTGGCAAATAACCTTGACAGTCACTCGATTATCATAAATATATCTTTATATGACAAAGTGAGCCACCCCTAAGGCATGAACCCTGGATTTTTTTTTTTTTTTTGGGGGGGGGGGGGATAATAATAAATGATGTGTGGCTGCTAGATCTCAGAGTGAGAAGAAAGTTTAAGATATAATGATTTTACAATGCATTATCAACTTAAACACATCCTGATTTCAATTCAGAACCATGTACAGGTTGTGAATTTCATAAGTTGGATGGGTTCAATGATCTAAGATTAGGCTCCTGGACATATACATAACATCAAAATAACTCATTATCAACATGCATACCATTTATCCTTAAAATATACTGATAAAATTATTCAGATTAGTTTGTTAGATTTATTGAATTTGCAGTTACTTCACCAATAAAATGGACTGACCAGAAGCTATCCCCCAACTCCTTTGTCACTGTTACAATAGTGTTGTGAAGAAGCTACATTTCAACTGATAGTTTCATCAGATATTTATGCATTTCAAAATTATTCATCATAGCAAAATCAATTTACCATGTATTAATTTCCTATATTTCTCGAACATTGTAAAAAATGTTTAAAGCAAACATGGATCTAAGAAGATTTTTTTTTTGATAAGAGGCTCCCAAGAGCCAGAATTGCTAACCTGGCTGTAGCCAGATTAAAAAAACTCCAATATATGGATGATCAGATGGCTATACAATTTGCTAATTACAAAGATTTTATTTTAGTTGGCCATTTTGGTTTTAACAATTTACAGCTATCGTATAATTTTCAAATAAATAAATGCAGACAAAAAACTACAAAAATAACAAATTTATAAATGTTCTTCAGGAGCTATTACTCCAACATTTGGGATCAAATAATGAAATTTGGTAGACAAGAAGACCTTATTGTACCATTTGATTTTGTCATTAGAGTTATACAAATATAAAAAATCTGTCAGGGAGTTTCATGAGATATTTTAAAAAGTTTATGATGACCCTTGAATGACGAAGAAGCCAGGTGATGGCATAAGCTCACTTAACCTTCTGGGCCAGGTGAACTAAAAATCAATACAGTTTAGTAAAACTTGTCTAATTCGGATGTGGTGAATTCCAAAATCTTGCCTATTAGAATATACAAATGTAAGATTTTTATTCCCTTTTTATTTAAAATTAATCAAGTAATAAAAATTATTTAAATGTCATTGTTTTAAATGTCTGATCTGAAATGCTGTCTAATCTGGCCAATTTCTATGGAAACAATGGTGTCCATATTAGACCAAGTTTTACTGCACTAATAAATAAACTATTTGATATAACAAAGAATGTCTGCCATCTGATTATAGGCCATAATCATGTATTGCTGCTTTTGAAAATAAAATCAACAGAAATAATACATTACAAATATCAAAATCCCAAGTGAATATATCTAGTGTCTATATCCAAGTAACTATAAATAAGTTGTCCCTGGTCCAGACTTAAATATATATATATATATAGTTTGAATGAAGGATATTTGCTAGCAACAATATTGTTTTAAATTTTAAGCTTATATTTCTTGAAGGACAGAATTTGGAGCTGATTCACTCCAAAGTTACATGTAATCTCAATACTACCAAACTTCCATGATTGCTACAATTAAATGATGGATAAAAAAAGATATATTCCACTCCAACTTTAATTTGACCAGTATTAACAGAAATAAGGATAATCCTAAGCAATATTGAGGCCTCACATACACAAGGCTTAAAATAAAGGATGAATGATGAATTACTTATTTAAAACAAACTGGCAAAGATAACAAATGAGGCGGGATTGAACAGCCCATTGAAGTTCTTTTCTTTCTTTCTTGTTTTTTTTTTTTTTTTAGAAGATTACTTGTAAACCATGAAATATTCAATTTTGAAATACATATACAAGTAGATTAGTTAACAATCAAGATCAGATTAATTCTAATCTACATTTAGATTTACTTAATATAACCCTGAGAAAACTCACAGCCATAGCAGATATAAAAACAACAATAATTCAAACACATTAGCTGCGCTTTAAAATGCTTACACCAAGGATTAGAAAAGCATTTTTAAAAATATTTGCATCAATACTTGCACAGGGGCAATATTTGCCAAGCAACAGGAAAGTTTTCAGTATGTCTGGAAATGCACTGCACTCAGAGCTTTTATCCTGTGGATATATCAAAGGGCAATATAGTTTGCATTGTTATACTTTCAATTAAATAGTCAATTTTAATTGGTTTAAAAATATTTGTTAAAAAGTACAATTATTCTACCATGTACATAAACCGTGCCCTTCAGGTAACATTAAATAGCAAAGGTTGAAAATGCATACACGATGACAGGTAACAGCATAAAAATTGTTAACTGTGCAGAATGTTTGCGCGTACATTTTAAATTACCATGATATATTTTCCTTTAAATGCATTTTAAATACATTCAGTATAACAAAAAAAAATATTACATGATTTTTTAAAGGTTACATGTGAAATTGCTATCCCTTGAAAATCATTGTTGACCTCAGCTGCATCTTACTGTATCAGTTATTAATGGTTTTCAATGGATAACATTTTCATGTGTTACCCTAAAAAACATGAAATATTTTTATAATATAACAAAGCAAAACTTTTTAAATAATTTTTTTGAAAAGGAAATTATATTAAGCATGAATTAAATGAGGCATGGATCTGTAAATGTGATATAAAACTGTTCTTTCAGGACTAATACCCCCTTATGCGACACACTTGACAATGGGCTTTTTTGAAAAACTGTATATGAAAGCCCTTCGAGATATTTTGTGACCCTGACTTTGTCCATGTACATGTTCCAGTACATGTAATTTGATAAATCCTTTGATTTGTCATATATCAGGTTCTAAAATTGTTTCTCTAGGGTACTGAAAAAAATGCAAAAAAATTTTTACATTCTGCATCCCAGTGACCTTGTCAAAATGACATCAAGCAAAATCTTCTTTTGAATAATATTTTGGGAAATGACACAAAATATGTTATCCATTATTCTCAACAAATGAATTTCAAATCAATACTCTATGTATTTACCTATGTTCAAATAATATTTTTGGAAATGGCACCAATATTAAATTTTTTATACTCAGCGATCAATTTTAAAAATTATTATTGGATTCCACGTCCAGAAAAATTCCAGTGATTCTAGGACTTGCCTGTAAGTTGGACACAGAGTTTTAGAGGGTAATTTAACTCCCAAAATTCTTAGACTTACAGGCAAGTTTATATGGTAGACCATGTCCAATGACCTCTTGAACAGTAAAAAATATGTCAAGTATGACAAAATGTAAGTAAGGGCATAATGTATGACAGAGACGGACAAGATGATTCCTCTCTCTCTCTCTCTCTCTCTCTCTCTTGTGTATCATGGTGTATATGCATAATATGTATAACAGTTTTATGAGATAAAAGCCTTTAATGATTTTTTGATGGGTTGTCGACATATTGGACATTGTTGTAAAGGGGCAGCACAGCTGGGACAGCAGCAGATGTGTCCACAGGGCTCAAACAACACCCCAACTTCTTCATCCAGACAAATTTTGCACAGCTTCTGTTCCTTTAGATTTCGATTCTCCTCTAAAATTTCTTTCATTTCTAGGGTTACAAAGAAATCAATACAATCATTTTTTATGTTATGTTTCAAAAATAAAGGACTTAGAAGAAGGATTAAGCTATATAAGCCTTCAATATCTGTATAACAATTTAAAAGTAATTTGAAACAAGAATAATGTGTTCTTTTTTATTACAGCAGGATTTTCAATCTGCCACAATCCTTCAATTTATTAACACTGCAAAAATTTCATTTTATATAGATACATGTACTGGTAACTATACATTGTGTAATTTTGCCAGTATCCTAAGGTACATGTATTTCCATTTTTATAAATTAAAATTTTTCTCAAATTTTTTCTTCATTTGCAATATTATAATTGTTGCTTTTTTTTAAATGAGGATTCTTGAATAATGGATACACAGTTTCTTCTATGTAGAGAACTGTGATCAGAATTCCACTACTTTGTTGCTACAAATGCATAGTTATATTACTCACTCTTCTCTTTATCTGAAGAGTTTTCGGTTTTACTGGTTCCCGCTGCAGCTGACTCAGCAACAGGTATTTTACTGGCCCCTGCTGCTGCGGAAGTAGAGGGACCAGAAGCTGCATAATCTGATACCGAAGATGAAGGGGGATCAACCACTGATTTCACACTGGTCTCTTGAGCTGTTTAAATATAAAGGGTATAGGTTTTCAAATATGACAAGAAAATATGACAAGCAGAAAATTTCACAACACCTATCTATGTTTAAAATTTTTCATTTGTGATAATTTTTTCCAATATTGGAAGTATACATGAACTTAGTGGCAAAAAAAGTATTCTTTTGAGGTTTCTTTTTTTTTTTTTGTTTGGTATCAAGGTTTGAAATTTATTAATCTAGACTCAGAAGGTTTCAGACATAATGTGTAAATAAATTTAAGGAAAAAGGTTAAATTACAGTATTTACAAACCTATGGGACCATGGCTAACTTCATCATCAATCTGCATTCTGTTCATTTCCTTAAAAAAAAAAAAAAAAAAAAAAAAAAAAAAACGTGAAATTTTCAAAAATGTTCACATACATGTATATGATTATAATTTTTTATATATATATAGGGTACAAACAATATATTATTTAATATAAAAATATAAATGATTATTTCTGGATTACAGATTTTATGAACATCCAAGATTTGAAACCTGGCAGTCTCTTTGAAAGCTTGTGATTTTAATGTACTTGGCATTTTTTTTCACCAAAGGACCTTAAAAGCAAGCAAAAAATGTGCTTCATGCAGTATTTTTTCCATGCTAGACAAAAGGGATTACATTGTTTATCTTGTTTACGATGTTTTTACCTAAAACAGACATTCAGAGAGAGAGAGAGAGTACACTGTGTATTCAGTGTACTGTTTAGTGATGTAGTGTACATGTATTGGTATATATAGTACAGGGATGGCTGCGAACTGATTTGAAAAATTTACACCTTGAAGTTCTGACATCAGAAAATTGTTTTTCTTAATACATGTACCAGAATATATATTCTTCTGTAGACTAAACCTGCTAACAATAAAAAAAATTGCTACCAGAATTTTCAGTGAAGCCCCACTGGTAAAGTGTGGTGTAGTTAATTTTAAACTTGAACTATGACTTAAACTATGCAACACAAAGTTGGTAAGTTTTCCAATTCAATCACCCATATGAAGGCAAACAGCTCTTTTTTCCCCCCAATAGGCAATTTAACTATATTTCAAGAATGATACAATCTCTCAACATACCATTATAATTGTGTTAAATGACAAAAGGATACTTAAAGCGACAGTACGGCTGCAAAATGTGTGCTATTTCATCCAAATTTACCCGATATGTCATTAAGAAATAAGGTATAAAGTTGATGTAAGCAGTTTGAGAAACAGAAATATTCTCTACTCAAACAAAATTAACGTAATTAGAATCTGCCGGAAAATCAAGGGTCGTACGAACTGGAGCAATCTTAGATCTGTTTATTTGTACCACGTGAATTCTAAAAAGGCACGTGCCTACACTGGAGAGTTTACAGTTATAATGAATATTAGGTGAAAGCAATTTTCAAAAACACAAATTATCATAACTTACTGATAAAATAATCTAAAATAATAATCGTAAAGATTTTAGTCTGAATTCAGGCGAATTGTTTACGTTTTGTGTATTGGGGTCCGAGAAAGGGAAAACCAACTAATCATACGTTATCGCGGCAAATGTCAAACAAAATATTTTTCTGCACAGTTAAAAAAAATTAGCATTTCAAATGGCAACAATTTTTATAAGTCAAAGATGTATTTTTAATGTTGAGTTTACACTATTTTTTTTCTTTGAAAGCGACGGAAAAATGAGAAATGATAACAAGTATCAACAAACCTGTCGAATAGAACCTTCAAGAGCCCTGCGTGAGTGTCGCCGAGTTCCCGTTTCTTCCTTATCCAGCGATTTTATTAATCCCCAAACTAAATTTTAGTCATGAAAGTTGCTTTTTCAAGTTCTATTTTCAGTTTCTTTTTCTTTTTGGTCGACTTGGTCAATGTAGCAGGCCTACCGGTATTCCCTCTCTAACCATGCTGTTTTGTTTATGAAAACTACGCATGCGTGCATAGCATGGAATGTGGAACCCCGAACACGTTGCGATGTATATATTTACGTCCCATAAATAACTATTAATTTTAATGAAATAATCCAAATTATTTAATTGTAAAAGTTGTAATTTTCTGAAAGTCTATACATTTATGAGTAGTAAAAAAATTCCAAATCTTGTCGGAAAATTTTATCTAGTCAGTTTTTTGATGAGATGCGCCGTACTATCACTTTAACTGAAGGAACACTAATTTGGTCTACCATTTTTAGAGAAATAATTTGTGATTTTTTTTCCTTCTTCTTCTTTGTTTTCATTTCCATTAAATTTTATCTTAATTTTCGTTTTTAATTAAGTGGGATTTGTAAATTACTCATTAAATAC